ATCACCTAGAGTTTCTCTTGAAGTTTTTCTTCTCAATCAACCTGGAGTCAGTTTATCCCACCCTAGATTTCTGTTCTCTTTCAAACCAACAAAATAATTGTCAGTCTACTTATATGAAGGACATCTTACCTATACTGGAAAATAACAAAACTTTTATTTTAAATATTGCAACTTACTAGTTAAACAACTAGATATACTATAAGAGTAAGTTAGTCTTGAAAATGACAATAAATTCTTTTGTTCTAAAAATTTCATAAGAAAAATTGATTATAATTTTTCTAAAAGGTAAAGAATGGTGAAAAATAGTATGTATGTTGCACTTACAAATGCATTCTTTAACATTTTTAAGAAACTGTCATACTTTAACTAAGATTAGCTATGTGACATTTAAATCCTATCTATTCTACTAAAAATTTGCAATAGTTTAAGTAAAAAGGAGTCTTTATCATGTAGACAAAACAATGATAATCTGACTGAATTTCATTTAAAGGATTATATCAATAATCCCATCCCATAAAATTTTAACAAGCACGGACACAATCTGATATAAGCAGAGTCTGGTTGTTAGAGCAATCAGGCAATTGATAAAAAGAGAAACCAATGCTCTCTAGAAGAACACATCTTCAGTGAAAGTCTTGTAAAATTTACACATATAGAATTGCAACAAATAAGAGGTCACAATTTTAAAAAGCAAAATCATAGGACATATGTAAAGGAAAAAGCCACCACATATGAGTCAGCAGAAAATAACCAACAACAAACCTAAAACCACAAAGATATCCAATATTGCTATTTTTTGATACTCAATATAAAATAGGTACATTAACTACATGAGAAAAAATTTAAAAGCACATTGAAATCATTGGAAAGAAGAAAAATACACCCTGAATCAACACTTCATCTTAACCTATGAATTTTGATATTACTTTTAGAAAGCTTAGGATTAACTCTATCTACATTGAAAAAAATAAAACTCAAAGAGCTCTGGACTAATAATGCCAGGAAATTGAGGAGAAAATGAAAGCATATCAAAATCAGAAAGATTCCTTAGAAACCTTTTAAGAAGTGGTTAAAATTCTAGATCCTTTCTCCAATGCCACACAAATATGTAAATGTCCTTTTCTTCCTAGTGAAACAGTTAGATTTATTCCCATAGAAGATAGAAAAACAGAGGGTCTATGGATTAGAAATTCCAAGCATTGTTGGAAACGTGAATGCTGACTCAGCCATTGCCATGACAGTCAAGAAGACAGTATGTTAAAAAGGTGTGACTGAAGAGAGTTTTAAGGAGGTACTACTTACAAAGCTGTGGGTTAAAAAAATGCTGAAGCATCTGTAGATTTGTAACAGGGTAGATAAAGTTAGTTTTCAGCTTCCTCCAGATATGATAAACCAACTTTTTTAGGCTTTCTAATCAATTTCCATTTGGCTGTCTAATTTCTAGCTTCTAAAATGTTGTTGCTTGATCTTCCTTTCTATGCATCTTGTTCTTGTCTTTTACCTCTTTCCTTACAGCACAAAGAAAGCTGCTATCACATCTAGGCCCAAAAAGGAAAGAGAAGGAAGTATTTAGCTGTGTGGAGAAAGAACTGGAGGAGGTGACTTCTGGACAAGAACTGAAGAAGTAGAAGGAGAAGACAGTTGTGGCCAATCTGTGGGTAGGCTGGAAGGAAACTGGGAAATACCTTGATTTCTCTCTCCTAATGGTACTTCCAATGGCCAAAGCCAACTGGAAAACAGAGGGCAAGGGAGCCTAATTGATGCGATCAATCTTAGTCAGTTTGAGTTGCCATAACAAAATACCACAGACTGGGTGGCTTAAACAAGATATTTATTTCTCACAGTTCTGGAGGCTGGGAAGTTCAAGATCAAAGTGCCAAAAGATTTGATTCTTGGTGAGGGCCCTCTTCCTGGCTTGCACAGAATTACTTTCTTGCTTCTCTGTCCTCACATTGCAGAAAGAGAGAGAAAAGAGACAGAGAGAGAGATTGAGAGAATGCTCTGGTCTTGCTTCCTGCTCTTTTGAGGACACTAATCCCATCATGGGGCCTCATCTTCATGATTTCATATAAATATAATTATCTCCCCAAAACCCTACCTCCACATATCATCACATTGGTAGTTAGGGCTTCAAAATAAAAATTTTGGAGGGACACATTGAGTCCATAACGCAGTACATACAGATCAGTTTCCCAGAGCACAGGGCAAAGTGAAAAACAGTAAAAGTGTATCAAAGGAGCACATGAAATCAAGTACAAATACCATAATAAAATGATGAGCTTGGTGAATATATATGAAGACTGAAAGCTGAAATACTGGCACATAAGCCCTCTTCTCACAATAGACCCTTTTTTATGCTGGCAAAATCTATAGACACCTGCTCTGTGGACCCTGTCTAGCCTAAAAGTAGAAAATTAAAGATACTGGCAAATGGGGTTTCCCCAGCAAACCACCAGCTACCATGATGAAAGTCAAATTCAAATCTTTATCCACATACTTGATATTTATAATTAGCTTTCATCCCCCAATTTTAAATGTAAGAATTACCAGAGCCAAATTTTTTACCTGAGCAAAACCCCTAACATGAAAGACTAGGAAAAATACAACAAGAAACAAAAGAGAAGAGAATATAACACAAAAAGAACATGTATAATATTTAATAGTTAAACATTAACTATTAAATAAAATATTTTAAAAGATTATTAGTATCCTTATAAAGATTAGCAAAGCCATTTCATTCATGAAATCATAATAGGATTCATTGAACAGAAAGAGTTCTTGAAAATTAAGAACATGATAGCAGAGACAAAGAAATTCAAAGAAAATTTTGAATGATAAAGGAAATCTTGTGAATAATAGAAAAGAAATAGGTAAGTAAACGAAATAAATGAAACCAAAAAAATACTAAAGAACACTCATCTCAATGGTCTAACATCAAAGTAATGGAAATTCCACAAATAGAGGAAAATATATATATATGTATTTTATATATACACACAAATAAATGTATATAAACACCAAATATATACACACAAAATATATGTAAACACTATGTATATACATATATAAACATACTATATATAAATATATATAATATAAAATGTATATATTTTTATATAAATACAAATAGAGAAAATGTAAAATGCAGAAAAGAAGCTTTAAGTATAATTCAATAAAATTTTCCAGAAATAAAGAACAATAAATTACATCATTTTTGGATTTAAGAACATTAGAGGCAAAGAGAAAATATCTATAAGATTCCAAAGTGTAATACATAAATATATATATGTATATATATTTTTTTCTTTAAAAAATTTAGGACATATATAAACACACACTATATAAATACATATGTAATTATACAATATTATATATTTCATAATATATATAAATATTATAAATAATATTTATATAATATATACATATTATAAATACTATTACATATAATATATAAATATTATAAATATTGAATGGCTATTACAAAAAAAAGAAAGAAAAAGCAAGTGTTGGTGAGAATGTGGAGAAATTGGAAGCTTCATATCATATATTGTTGGTGGGAATGTAAAGTGCTGCAGACACTGTTGAGAACAGTTGGTGGTTCTTCTTAAAGTTAAAGGTAGCATTGCCATATGATTTTACAATCCTACTCATAGGTATAAACCCGATAGAACTGAAAGCAACATTTCAAAGAGATACTTGTACAAAACTGTTTATAGCAGCATTATTTACAACAGCTAAAAGGTGGAAAACACCCAAGTGTCCACCAACAGATGAATGAACAAAAATGTCACATAGACGTGCAATGGAATATTCCTCAGCCATAAAAAGGAATTAATTTCCAATACATGCTATAGCATGGATGAATCTTGAAAACACTATGTCATGTGAAATAAACCAGACAAAGAGAACAATATTGAATGATTCCATTTACATGTGACACTTAGAATAGGCAAATTCATAGAGACCGGAAGTAGAATAGAGGTTACCAGGGCTAAGGAAAGAAGGAAATGGGGAGTTACTGTTTAATCAGTAACAGAGTTTCTGTTTGAGATTATGAAAAAGTTCTGAAAATGGATAGTTGAGATAGAATACACTTAAGGCCACTAAATTATATACTTAAAATAGTTACAATGATAAATTTTATGAATATACTTAATACACTTAATGCTACTAAATTGTACACTGAAAAATGGCTACCAGGATAAATTTTATGCAACATATTTAAACAATAATAAATAGGAAAGAGGCAAACATAGAAAATATTCTTCAATTTTAAAAAACAAATAAAACTGATCTAGAAGTATTGATAAGGAGCAATGCGCCAGGTATATTGTTAAGAAAAAGAAATCAAGGTACACAATAATGTGTATAGATTATTATATCACCTTTAATTAAAAAATATATGGGGGATTCCTACACACATTTGTGCACACACATGCACACAGATATATCAGAGAGAGAGATCTTTGGAAAAACATCCAAAAAACTGACAACTAGTTTCCTATGAAGTGAGTGATAGGGGTGAGAGAGTGATTTATAATAGACTCTGGATTTACTTAACACACATATATCACATGTTTGAAAAGAAAACAGATTTGAAATTAGAGAGTTTTGTCAATAGCCATCTATTCATGAGACATGTAAATAGAAAATTACAGTATAATATAATAAATACTGTAGCATATTAACAGTGTAGAGGGAACACACTGTAAGTGGAACTCAATTTGCAGGGGGAATGATAAACGGTTTCATTGAGGGAGTACAATCTGAACACAGATCTGAGGGGCAATCTAGATACTTCACTATGCAAGGACAAAAATACTAGGCAAGGGATAAAAAATGGCATTTTCAGGAGTGATGAGAACTTCAGGGTGTCTGGTGTGTGGATATTCCCATGTACAAGAGCATAAGGGAACATTAAATCTGTATTCATCCATTCTCATATTGCTATAAAGAACTACCTGAGACTGGGCAGTTTATGAAGAAAGAGGTTTAATTGACTCACAGTTCTGCATGGCTGGGGAGATCTCAGGAAACTTACAATCATGATGGAAGGTAATGGAGAAGCAAGGCATATCTTCCCATGGCAAAACAGAAGAGAGAGAGAGCTAAGGGGGAAGTGTCACACACTTTTAAACCATCAGATTTTATGAGAACTCACTATTACAAGAACATCAAGGAGGAAATCCATTGTGATGATTCAGCCACCTCCCACCAGGCCCCTCCTCCAATTCAACATGATATTGAGACAGGGACAGAAATCCAAACCATATTATTCTGCCCCTGTCCCTTCCCAAATCTCCTGTCCTTCTCACACTGCAAATTACAATTATTCCTTCTCAACAGCCCCAGTCTTAAATCATTTCAGCATCATCTTAAAAGTCCATAATCCAAAAGTTTCATCTGAGGCAAAGTAAGTCCCTCATGCCTATAAGCCTGTAAAATCAATAACTAGTTACTTCCAAGATACAATGGTTGCGCAGACATTGGGTAAATAGTCCCAATCCAAATGGGAGAAATTGGCCAAAACAAAGGGGTTACAGGCCCCATGCAAGTCTGAAACCCAGCAGGGCAGTCATTAAATCTTAAAGCTTCAAAATAATCTCCTTTGACTCTATGTCTTACATACAGGGCATGATGATGCAAGAGGTGGACTTCCAAGGCCTTAGGCAGATCCGCCCTGTGGCTCTGCAAGATACAGCTCCAGCAGCTGCTTTCATGGGCTGACACTGAGTGCCTGTGGCTTGTCCAGGCTCACAGTGCAAGCTGTTGGTGGATCTACCACCATTCTGGGGTCTAGAGGACAGTGATCCTCTTCTCACAGCTCTGCTAGGCAGTGTCCCAGTGGGGACTCTGTGTGGGGACTCTGACCCCATATTTTCCCTCTACACTGCCCTAGTAGAGGTTCTCCATGAGGGCTCCACCCCTGCAGCAGACTTCTGCCTGGACATCCAGGTATTTCCATACATCCTCTGAAATCTAGGCTGAGGTTTCCAAACCTCAACTCTTGCCTCTGCGTACCCGCAGGCCCAACACCACATGGAAGCTGCCAAGGTTTGGGGCTTGCACCTTCTGAAGCCACAGACTGAGCTATACCATTAGCCATGGCTGGAGTGGCTAGAACACTGGGTGCCATGTTCCAAGGCTGCACAGAGCAGCTGGGTCCTGGGCCTGGCCCATGAAACCATTTTTTCCTCCTAGGCCTTCAGGCCTATGATGAGAGGGGCTTCTGTGAAGGTCTCTGAAATGCCCTAGAGACATTTTCCTCATTGTATTCATTATTAACATTTGGCTCCTCTTTACTTATGCCGATTTCTGCAGCTGTCTTGAATTTCTTCCCAGAAAATGGGTTTTTCTTTTCTACTGTATCATCAGGCTGAAAATTTTCCAAACTTTTATGCTGTTTACCTGTTAAACATAAGTTCCAATTTTAGACCATCTCTTTGTTCACACATATGACAGTACACTTTTAGAAATAGTCAGGCCACACATTGAATGCTTTGCTGCCTAGAAATTTCTTCTGCCTGATACCCTAAATTATCTCTCTCAAGTTCAAAGTTCCACAGATCACTAGAGCAGGGGCACAATGCTGCCAGTCTCTTTGCTAAACCATAGCAAGAATGACCTTTGCTTCAGATTCCAATAAATACCTCATCTCTATCTGAGACCACCTCAGCCTAGACATCATTCTCCATATCACTATCAGCATTTTGGTGAAAAACAATCAACAAGTCTCTAGGAATTTCCAAACGTTCCTCGCCTTCCTGTCTTCTTCTGAGCCTGCCAAAGTATTCTAACCTCTGCCCATTACCCAGTTCCAAAGTTGCTTCCACATACTTGGGTATCTTTATACCAATAATCCACTCCTTGTTCCAATTTTCTGTATTAGTTTGTTCTCACATTGCTATAAAGAACTACCTGAGACTGGGTAGTTTATAAAGAAAGAGGTTTAATTGACTCATAGTTCCACATGGCTGGTGAGGCCTCAGGAAACTTACAATCATGGCAGAAGGCAAAGGGGAAACAAGGTGTATCTTCCCATGGTGGATCAGAAGAGACAGAGAGTTATGGTGGAAGTGTCACACACTTTTAAACCATCAGATCTCATGAGAACTCACTGTTAGGAGAACAGCAAGGGGAAAATCTGTCCCTATGATCCAATCACTTCTGATGGGGTCCCTCCTACAATTTGATGTGAGATTTGGGTGGGGATAAAAATCCAAATCATATCAAAGTCCTTTAGTTATTTTAAATTCAACATATCCAAATTGAAATTTATAATTTATTCATAAAAATCTGCTGTTTCAGCTTAACAAATAATTTGGGTTTAGGCATTAAAGTTCTAAGCATACCCATCTGTGGGTTTTAATTTTTATCATTTTGTTTTCTTTGCCAATACCAACTCCTTTCCTAAATAACGTATATTTTTTTCTTCCCTGAGGCCTTGAACTTCTATTTGCAAAGGTATGGCAATTCAGAAGGGGAATGATGTGTGAAGATGATTATTCTGTCTTTATGATGCCAAGCAGACTGAGGAAGAGGACTATTTTGGGGGAGTGGCAACTTACTCAAAAATATCCCCCTGAAAGTATAAGGCTCCAGTCATTTGTAAGTCTTATTAAAAGCCATCAGTGTGCTTGCCTAGGCTGATACAGTGCTGAGAATTTCCTGGAGTTTTATCTCCTGCCTCACTGATAAGGCAGCAAAATTATATTATTCAAATAATGAAATCAATATACTTACGTGAGGCCCCAGTCAGTAACTGAAGGCATTAACATAGAGACATAGAAAAATATTATTGGTGGAAGGTTATTTAGTGTCAGCAGAAGCACTTATCATACCTGATGTGAACAGGTTAACTTCCACAGTTCTCAGCCTCCCTTTCACTCTGTCTCCTTCTCTTCTTTTCCCACGGAGCAAACAGCATATGATAACACTGGCACATGATAGAAATTGGCAAAAACATTTATGAGAAAGACCTAGTTGTTTCCAGAAATGCCTTATGGGTAATAACAATAAAGACAATATTAATAATAGATAATATTTGAGACTTTACACTGTTCTGAGTGCTTACTATGCATTTTTTAAATACTACAAACCTTTTAGGTAGACACTATTATTACATTTATTTTTAGAGAGGAAGAAACTGAGCCACAGAGAGGTTAAATCAATTGTTCTAAGTCATACAGCTAATGAATGGCAGAGCTGGGATTTGAACTGAGACAAACTGGGTACAGGGCCTGAAATCTTAAACATGACACATTGAAACTCTTGGCTAACATCTTTCTTTCTGAGCCATCAAGTAGAACATGGGTGTAACTTTACAACAGAGCACATTAATTGGTAAATAAATTGTAGTCATGAGATCACACATGAATCTATTACAATGGCTACTATATTTATTTCCTGGCTTGACAATGCAGACACTAGCTCTCAGCATTCTTTCATAGCTTTATAAGTTAATTGCCTCATATATATGTAATGTCTGAAGTCAAAGCTTATTTTCTTACAATAACCTTGAATATGCTACATTTTTGTCAGAACTGAAATATATTAGGTATCTTTTAGAGGTTAAAAAACTAGGAAATAAAATTTGGACACCAATTCACATACTTTTGCATATAAGACACTATCTTTTGCATATAAGACACTATCAGTTATATTATTTCTTACTAAATCATAATACCAGAAAATCACAGAAACCAAAATTTGAAGACTTTTAGATTTCTTTTCTTTTATGCTTTTTGCAATTACTATCCTTATTCTTGGTTAATGTTCTAAAGGCTGTGATAATATCCTTTATAATTTTATGCTTACAAAAATCTTAGAAACAGTTACACATATTTATGAATAATACACCTTATTTTTTCACTTTTTTGTCAATATTTTCTTTTCTCTAAAAGACTTTTATGTTAGTTTATTAGACACCAAGTTCATATAGTGTTTCAAAAATGCCATGTCATGACATTTTATAAAAGGCACATTTACTCCTGTACCTGTGTTTAGCAAAATACCTCTTAGTACAGTTCATGATTCTCATCAGTGCAGACTGGGAAAGAGATCCTGTCACCAAAGGTATTCATTACATTTCAAGAAGGCAATATTAAGTCAAAGGAAGCAGCCCAGTTTTAAGACACTTTTTACAAAGGAGAATGTCCTTGGAGATGGATGGCTGAGATCTGTAAAATGTATGTTATAATTAAAATTGTAACCATGGGTTCATGATTTTCTACAGATACCACAAGCTGCATTAGTTGACTAGGTGAAATTTCAAATTAGCAAAGTACTATAATCAAAATGAGGTGGGTTATATTAAATGAGCTTTCCAGTGAGGGTCACCAAGTCAGATAAACCAGATTCTGTCTGCTGCTGCTGTGTATTCAAGGATTAGAAACAGAATTATGATGTAACAATTTAAATAAAAATACTGTTTTTAGTGATTTACTAGTGCAGATTCCTAAAGGCATTAAGGGCAGGATGAACATAGCTAAGTGGGTAAATATGCTGACTTTAAACCTTCCTTAGAAAAAGAAAAACAGTGGAGAATTTTGTTTTTTTATATATGCATATACCCCAACCCATTGTCCCATTGGGGATATTGAATGATTGGAAAATGTCAGTGGTCATGAAGATGAATGCCCTTCCTTTTGTTGTCTTATTTGCTTTGTAATTCCTCCCTGTTAGTAGGAGGAGAGTATGTTGGAGGAAAGCCAAAATGTTCAGAGCTATTCACAACACTTAATGACTTTATAGCTTTGGGTTTCGAGTAAATATTGTCAAGAGTCCTCTGTTGGACTTATAATAGAAATGCTGACTCTAAATAAGTGACAAAAGCTTGCCTAGTTGCCCTAAGTGTATGGAAAACACAAAGGTGAAGGAGACGGAGAGTAAGAAAATGTGCTATTTCAAGACTAAATAGGTACATTTCTAGTAGTCCAGTGGAAAAGAAAAGGGTTAGGATTGAATGCTTGTCTACCTTTCTTCATATGGCTAGTTTCCTCCTTTCCTTAAACAATTTTGATGCCTTTTAAATATTAGATCCTCCTCTTTATCTGAGCACTTACTGCAATTGTTTTATGTTTTTGATCTCTCACACTCATCAGAATGTAAATTACATGAAGGCACAGACAAACCTGACTTGCTCACCTTGGAACTGAACACAAACAGTAGGTGTTTGTGTCAGAAAGCTCTGTCCAACTTTATGCTCTTTCAGTCTCGCCTTCATTCCAGCCACAGGATTCCATCAGTTTACCCCGTCTGTAACTTGTGAGTAACTCACATCAGCCAGTACCACACACTTTCCTGATCCAGGACTCCTGTATACCAACGTGCAGCTGACCCCCATCTTGAGGGAAATTCTATGATGAATGCTGTGGGGAGGAATCGTATTAAATACTCTTTTCAAGTCTACCTCTTATTTCAGGCACTGTTGTGAGCGGCGAGTTTCATTCAAAAGACCAAAATCATGCTGGTTTAATTTGCCAGTACTTGCATTGGCCAATGCTATGTATGTCTCAATCTCTGCCCTGGGGCCTTTCTAATGCTGTAGAATAGGTTTCCTCGGTGAACCTACTCAAGCATGCCCAACCAAGAAACGTGAGGTATTGAACACCTGTGGGTCTACCCTGGGCCAATGAAGGCAGAATTCTATAGATAAATGTTTTCCCCTTAATATTTGGAATGCACAGTCTAGAGAAACATTCAAAAGGTCCCCCCAAACAATCCCAGAAGGATTAAGCATTGGTAACTAACAGTGGTGGTCACCTCAATAATGCAGTCTTGTTTTACTATGCTAATTTCTCATTTCTGTTCTAGCTCACTTAAAAAATGAGTTACTGAATGCAGACTTTCTTTTTTTTTTATTTTTTATTTTTTTTTGAGACGGAGTCTTGCTCTGTCGCCCAGGTTGGGGTGCAGTGGCCGGATCTCAGCTCACTGCAAGCTCCGCCTCCCCGTGTTAGCCAGGATGGTCTCTATCTCCTGAGCTCATGATCCATCCGTCTCGGCCTCCCAAAGTGCTGGGATTACAGACTTGAGCCACCGCACCCGGCCTGAATGCAGACTTTCATATAAAACTCTGATTTGGAATCAGCCCAGGTTGGAAAAGAGTTCAATAAGGGTTCATTGAATAAGCAAGTAAACAAACAAGTGAACGTTGATTATTCTCCAAAGTCCCTTATCAGTCCCTCCTCCTTCATTACCCCTCCTCTGCTCAACCTTAAATATTGGTCTTCTCCAGACTTGTTTTATTCTCTTTTCTTCATAGGCAAATAAAACTACCCTGAACATTCCTATGCACATCAAAGCTGTAACTATTCTTTATTCTGACTTTTATCTCTTACCCAAAGCCCTCTCCCAGACTTTGTAACTACACATGTGTACATATGCATGTAAACACATACGGTTGATACCTGAACAGCATGAGGCTTAGGGGTGCTGAACTCCTGTACCAGCTGAAAATCTGTAGATGACTTTTGACTCTCCCCAAAATTTACCTATCACAACCAATTTTTAACCAAAAGCCTTAACAATCACATAAATAATTAACATATATTTTATATATTCTATTTATTATATACTGTATTTTTACAAAAAAGTAAGCTAGAGAAAAAATGTTATTTAAAAATCATGAGAAAGAGAGAATATATGTACTATTTATTAAGTGGAAGTGGATCACCATAAAGATCTTCATCCTTGTGGCTTTCACGTTGAATAGGCTAACAGGGAAGAGGAAGAGAAATTGGTCTTGCTGTCTCGAGATGGCAGAGGCAGAAAAAACTCCTCATCTAAGTGAACCCACGCAGTTCATACTTGTGTTGTTTAAGGATTATCTGTAGGGAATATATTTACACTTATAATTCCCACTATTTTTCCACTTGAATGCCATATAAAACTTCACACTCAATATATCTAAAGAAGAAATTACTATGTTCCTCTTGAAGTCTACCACTCTTTCTGGGTTTTCTATATTGAGGAATGGTTTCACCATCCTTCAAACCCATAAGCCCCAAATCTGAATTTTTCTTAATTCTAATCCATCATTATCCATGTCCAATTAGTTACAAAGTCCTGTACATTCTATCTCTTAAATACAATGTAAATTTCCCCAATTACCACATTCACTACTACTTCATTAAATTAGACTGCTCATACTACTGTGATAAAATCATAAGTAGCTTCTTCAATTTCATTTTCACCACTGTGTCTGGATATGTAGTGATCATCCTAAAATTCTTGCAATGTCCTTGTTTCAACTTTTTAATGTTATCCCGTGACCTCTAGCTTAAAGCTCAAATTCTTAACAAAGTTTGCGAAATCCTTTATCATATGGCTCCTACCTATTTCTCTCACTCTATCTCACTGTCCCATGTGTACTTTTTGTATCAATCACACAAAACTCTGAAATAAACAATGCCCTACTTCTGTATGTTTATACAGGTGTGTTTCTTTCTGTAACAATCCTCTACCATCCACCCAACTTAAGATATTTCATTATTTAAGAAGTAACTCAAAGCTGACTTCCTCTTGAAAGCTTTCTCCAATTTACCTCCCATATTCTTAACCCCAAGGCTAGATTGGATATTACTCACCACACTCTCTCTTTAGTTCTTTACCATTCACTGTCTTATTTTCTTACAATATTAACATTATTGCATGTATATAAACTACTGGTTTTCTTCGTTTTTTTTCTTAGACAGTAAGTACCTTTAGGTTAGAGACTTACTATCTTTATATTTTTGCAATACATCAGAGTGTCTGAATATAATACCTCCCCAGTAAATGTCTTTTGCAGAACATGATCCATGATGTTAGGAATTACCCCACTGTGTAACATTTACAAAAGTATACTTTAAAGAAGGCATTAGTTTCTGCCATTTTTGGGAAAAGAAAAACGAAGTTTAGAGAACACAAGGCTTACTCAAATACACAGGAGAGAAATAGCAAAACCATTTTGCAAATCTTTGTTTACATGAATATATGGTTCTTATTCTACTCTATGTCGTATCATCTCCTCAGGTCCCATATAAATTGGACGTGGAGAAAAGAGTCAGTATTATGAGACAGAACTTGGGATAAAAGATAAATCTAAGTAAGGACACTATAAATCTCTTTGTTTCTATTCTTATCGTTGTCATTACTTTCTTGTTGGTTTATATTATTTTGAGGAAGGAGGAGATTTCTGTCTCTTTTATTTAACAAACCACATTAAAAAGAAAATCTTACATGCAAAACCCCCAAAATTCATCAATCTACATTGCCTACATTATTTGTTTTAACCTTTGAATGATCAATAAGCATAAACATGGTTTTACTTCAAAGATAACTATTTCTCTTTAATATTCACTAATCTTTATAATTTGACAAATCTGAAAAAATGGGCTCCACAATTTTGTTAAACATCAAAGAAAACTAAGATCTCACTCAAATAAAAACAAAGATGCATTTTGTCATGTTAGAAATGATCTTCTTTGCTTGTCAAGCTGGTCAATGTAAGTATAAAGAATAGTTTCTTTCATTATTATTTATTTTACAGTAAGAGTTTTCCTCTGGGCCAAAAGTAGTATTTGTTTTTGATACTCTGTTTTTGATTTTCTTGCTTTCTAAATATATACATTTGTAAAACCCTTTGCCAGTCATTGAGAACAGTGGAGGCATTCACAGAAGGGAAATGAAGAGGATAATGTGACAGTAAATTTCCTACTCTATGGATTTGCTTGGAACTGTATTTTGGAAAAAAAGTCTTAACCCAACACAAATGTTAAACACTAGATGAGGAAACACATTCGGGAATGTTTAAGAATGAAGTGTACTGATGAAGCAAATTACTTTGAAAGCATCAAAATACTATTTGATGATCTGTTAGAAGTATGAACAGAAGATGGTTAAATATTTAATAAATAATTATAGCAAAATGTTAATTGTAGAATCTAGGGGATGAGCTCATGGTTATTGAACATATAATTCTTTCAACTTTTCTATATTTTGATAAAATTTATAGTAATATGTTTAAAAATCAATCATAATAAAATATTTAAAAATATAATTGATCCCATGCAGAATTTCTGGACTTGAGCCAGTTGGCAGACCCAGAACTCATTAACTGAAGAAAATCCTAGGTTTCCTTAAGGAAGCACGATGAAAAACTGTGACAAGTATATTCTCTAGTAACTTCCCCAGTCTTTTCCTAAAGGAACCTACAGCCATTTATTTGGTTAATCACACATTGGGAAAAAGAGAATACCTCCAAATCTTTTGAGAATGTCAGTATACAGCATTTACAGTAGCATTGATAATTGAGGAAAAGTGTCACCTTTGCCCCATAAAAGAATACAAATAGATGTTTCTGCATAATAAATGTTGTCCTAGGGCTGGCTCCGCTCATAGTTATGATTACACAAAAGTTATTTTCCAGTTCCTAAATGTATAATTGTGCTAGTTATAGTTGGTAGTCAGTAGAACCAGTTCCTTGAACTGTGCTGTAAGAGAAATAATAGAGGGGAAGGTTAAATGGAAGCCTCTGAAATTGCTTCTGGCCAAGAGAGTAAATATAGTAGTAAAATAGTAAATACAGTAAAAATAATAACATGCTGTAAAAGTATCTATGAGATTAGTGAAATATTTATGATATAAAATATGCAGAGGTATTAGCCCTCATCATATCCCTGCAAAAATTAAATAAATCCAGAAACTCAACCAGTAGAAGCCCAAATTGCAGCTTCTATATCAGATACACTCTTTATGCTAGAACAAATTAACACAGCCTCCAGCACATTTTATGTGGCCATTCATTTGATGAATGCACTATTTTCCATTCTTATCAATAAGGAAGACAAAAAACAGTTCATATTCACATAGAAAGGACAATAGCATGCAGTATGGTCTTTCTCCAAGACTATGGAAATTCTCTTAGTCTCTTTCAAAGTATAATCCAAAGTGATTTGAGCCATACAAACATTCCACAGAACATCACACTGGTTAACTATATGGATGACATTGTGTTAAATGGATTGAAATATAAATTGGAGCTTTAGGCAAGACAAATGTGCTGTGGAGGATAGGAAATGCACCCTATTCAAGGGCTTGCTTCATCAGTGAAGTTTTAGGCACCCAGTAGTCTACGGCATGCTATGCTATCCCTGCAATTTAAAAGAGGAATTATTATATCTCACATCTTCTAGCACAAACAGAGACACATAATTTCTGGTATGCATTTGTAGGTTCTGAAAGCAGCATATTTATTCTACATTTGGAAAGAATATTCTTTTTTTCTTTCAGCTGAAGGAGAAAAACGCTGTCAGCTTCAATGTGTGCCCAGGGAATGAAACATTCCTCAGTAAGCTTCAGGTTATGATTCAGGTAGCTCTGACTC